TCCACCCCGCACAACATGATCTACTCGACCACCATTATGGTTCCCGCCAAAATAACACCGGAGGTAAAAAAAAAAAAAAAACGGTAACCTGGTTACCGAGTTCACGAAGTGAATTGGCTTGTGTTACAACGTCTTTGCCAGGCGACGAAAACCCACTCCCGATGGCAAACACCGGGGGGGGCGGCTTGTTTTACAACGTCGTTGCCAAGCGACGAAAACCCAACCCCGATGGCAAACACCGGGGGGGGCGGGGGGGCTGAAAATCAAAAAAATCTCGTAGGTTTTCTTGGCAACAATGTCTTCTTCCGTCGTTCGGTCGGCTGCTCACCTGGGCGAGGTTGTCGAGAAGAGTGTCCACCACGCTGCGGCTCTCGCTAAGGTTTACCAAGAGGTCGTCGGGCACCGGCAGGAAGAGCTCGTCGAGGTCGGGCACCAGCAGCATTTGGGGCTGAGACAGGTTGGACTTGAGGTTGTAGAAGTGTACGCTGCTGTCGAACGTGCAGAAGCCCACCTGGAATATTTATGCGCGGGTAGGGCAGGGGAAGGGGAATTAGATGGTGATGGACAAGAAGACGAGAATTATTTTAAGGGGGGATGCAGCATTTTGAGGGGGCACGCAGAAGTAGAACGCACGATTCGCGTACGACCAAGTAGAAATCTCAAACAAAAAGGACATGGACTTTTCTGGCATGCTAAAAATCATCGTAGCTGTTGTGGGTATGTAGAAGGAAAATATTCGTATCAAAAAGAAAAAAAAAATACTCCGTGGGCGGCAAATGGCATTTCATCAAACGAGTTATGATGCATTGATTGTCCGAGCATGAGAAAGTCCACCCGGTTTTTTTCTTGGTTTGCAATTCTCTGATCTCCGACCAATCAGAGCTCGATTTGTTACTTCAGATTTGGATATCTTCAGTGCCGGGCCTAGCCAGCCCTGTGCAATAAATCGAGCTTGAGTGTATTTTTCGCGCAAAGCTTTCGGCCATACCTAGCAAAGCTTTGCCGACGGGGTTTCCACATGGACTGACCATGGGTTTCCACACCGACCTACCATGGGTTTCCACGCCGACTTGCTAGGGGGTTCCACATGGGCTGACCACGGGTTTCCACACCGACCTACCATTGTGCGTTCCTCCCCCGGAAGGTTGTCCAGACACGCCTTGATCGTCTCCGCCGCAACGTGCACCATGCCGCTCGCCACTGCTGGCTGGGACACGTCAATCACGAACATGTACACCGGGGGCTGCGGCGGCCGCACCATGTACTCTGAAGGCGCCACCTTGGTTACGTTAGGCCGGTAGCGAGGGGGGGGGGATCGGGCACACGTAGCGGTGGGAACGGGGCAACAAGCGGCGACGGGTCTCCGGCGATGGAAAACTTCGTGCAAACACAGGAAATGTTGAGCAAGACCTCCGTGATGTTTCCAAAAGGGATCGGCCTATATGGGTTGTACGTTAGGTATTTAGGAGGAACACGATTGTGAATGGAAAGGTATATATGTAGAGCTAGAAAATACAAAACGCCTTTGGGAGTTCGTCAGCATGGTACAAACACTCCAAGGCCCACAAAGTAAGTGAAGCACGGGAGACTAACTGACTGCTGGGAGGCCTGCCGGCCATGGCAGGGAGGGTTAAGGGTGCAAGCGCTCGGGACTGTGGACACCCACAGTGCGCGGAGTGTTCGCCATGCCAAACGCCTGTCTGTCCAGAGGGACATACCAACTTATCAGCCACCGATAACCGACAGACGTTGCCAATGCGGTATTACAGCACAACGGATGCATCTCTTGGTTCTGCTTATCAGCATCTATGCATTCTTACCATTTCCACGCTGGCCTTGCCGAGCTCTGGGCGCTCCGCCCTGTCCGACCTGCGCCCATCCTGATCCAGGTGACATTGATAAGAAGGCGGGGTGTCGTTGACCATCCCGCAGACGTTACACCTCCACTGGCGGCCGTTGCTCAGCCAGCCCACGTACGGGTTGATGTACGTGCGGCACCGCTTGCACCGCATGATGCCCTGTCGTTGAAGCAGAGTAGTTTAAGCAGGAGTTGGGTGAAGGATGATGATGGCAACCAAGGGGGGAAGGTGAAAAAATCAAGGGGAAACCCCTCGCAGAGATGTGTGCAGACCAGGGGGGGGAGGCAGCAGCCTTCGTAGTGTTTTTCGTTTTTCTACAAAGTAAACAGTCGGGGAAGATGGGTTAGGGCTAGGGTCAGGGAATAAGGTCTGCGTCCCCCCTCCCTGTTCTCTTTCCTCATAAACTTGTTAATCTTGCGAGCGCTGTAGACATCAAAGGCAGAAAGTAACAAAAGGTGCGACAAAACGCACGAACGACATCAAGTACGAGAGAAGAATCTGCGTCTCGACAGATATCGCCATCGTGCCCCCCCCCCACCCACATATACCAGAAGGCACTCTCTGCCGTCCCCCCCCACCCCCGCAAGGCTCTACGAATCGACAAGGTCACAAAGATGCCGGGAAATCTCGCCACACCTGCGCTCCGAAGTTGACGACGTCGAGACCCCCGTCCTTCTCGTCGATATCGAGCGCCATCGACTGGACAACTACACCCAACGGAATCTTGCTCTGTGGGACGGAGCACGTGTGTTCACGGACACGCATCAAAGAGAGAGAGAGAGCGAGAGAGAGAGAACCAGCATTACAGAGGCGGAAAGACATGAGCGAGACAAAGCATTGGTATGGTTGTTTCGCGGCATGAGCCACATCACGTGGGCAGGACGAACTCGACCTCGCTAAACAGCACCGGGTGCCATCGCCAGTAAACCCGGACATAACGCAGGGCAGGGCCGCACGAATGATAGACGTCCCGAGAAACACTGGAACGGCGCCACTTCTTGACGCGGCGTCAATGGCATAGAACATCTGCGGTAATCAACTCCGAGTAACAACCCCCCCCTGTGGCCAACGGCCTTATCGCCTAAGGCATGCAAGACATGAGCAGTCCGCCCCCCCCCTCTCCTCCCCCCCCTCGGTGTTTGCCATCGGGGTCGGGTTTTCGTCGCTTGGCAACGACGTTGTAAAACAAGCCGCCC